GGGCAAAGCATTTCGAAGCGTGTTGTTGGTGGAAGTGCAGTATCAGATGTACATAAATGGTCATGGAGTGGAATTCTACAATATAATGGTGCAGATCTATGCGGAGTTACCTTGGTAGCAGATAGATGGGCTGTTACCAGCGTGCTGTGCATGTAAGTACAATAATCTTACAATAAATAAATAAATAAATAAATAAATAAATAAATAAATAAATAAATAAATAAACAAACAAACAAATAAATAAATAAATAAATAAATAAATAAATAAATAAATAAATAAATAAATAAATAAATAAATAAATAAATAAATAAATAAATAAATAAATAAATATACAAAGGTAAAAGGGGGTTTATTCCAACAGCAATCCGATACCCGAATATTAATATCATCTTCCATTGAATCATATAGATTACCATTAGCATAAGAATGGTCAAATATGTGAATTGAACTAAACCATTCACAACTAGGCTAGACCAAACCAGACCAGACTAGACCAGACAGGGCAGAACAACAGGACATATCACATACAAGTCAACATAAAGACCAGAATATATCAGACTAAACCAGATAGAGCAAAAGAAGACACACCCCATACAAGACCACACACCAGACCAGACCAGACCAGACTAGACCAGACCACACTCGATATACTAGTATATTAAAATGTTGGATAAGAATAGACCATTAGATCAGTTTTGACTAAATTGGGCTAGACTAGACTAGATATACTGTGAGAGAGTTTACTGGACTAGGATAGGTGACTTGAAATAGAATAGAACACATTAGACTATATTAGATCTGTGCACAAATGCTCAATCACAGCTACTCTCATTATATAAACCCTTATACTATACACAAATTACTGTATGAATACAGGGTGAATTGGAAGGACACGAGCGCGTTCTCTGTTGTATTCGGCAAGGGGGACGACACAGTAATGAGATCTTTCACCGTGGATGAAATACGAATCCATCCTAACTACGATGCCACGACATATGCCTACGACGCATGTCTACTAAAATTGTCGGCGTCAACAAGTGGTGACTTCACGCCGGTATGTTTGGTGGAGGATGACGTTGATTACGACAGTTTCAAAGAATGTTGGCTCACGGGATATGGCAGTACGTCTCCAAATAGAGGTGAGACATGCGTAGTACTGATTTATAGGCACTGATCTAAAGCTATCAGTTTTTATAATTACGAATAATATACCAGCCAGTGACGCAAAACACCGTTCCTATAGCTTGCGCCCTCTAGTGACGGAGCGCTTTCGTGACGTCAAAATGACGTTATTGATTAAAGGCTATGTCGTTCAAATCGTCAACTGTGTTTAGTTGTGTAACCATCGAGAATATAGTGAAATCTCTCGAACACGTGACCTTCATTGATGGGTGACTAAAGATTAAAGTTATATCGACGTTCTTAACGGTTCTCATATCAACCGTTTACGTCATAGAGTGCCTCGTCACCAGAGGGCGCATTTATGAAAAGGGTCACGTGTATTCCATTTTGGCTCAAAAGTCCCTTGCATACAAACACCTAATTACACTGAGAACATAGAACACTTTCCCGAAGTTGTTGAAACCGAAATTGTCATCTAACTTTAAGACCACCGTATATTGGCTACTGAGTTGGATGACGTGAACATTTGTTAATTTGTAGAATGGCGGATGGCGGCCTTCATATAGTAAATATCGGTACTTATTTTATTATCACGTGCACGCCAGCAGACTATGATCTGCGTCACATGCTCATTATATCTACTGAAAACCTTTTAGCTCTAGTTCTCTAGAAAATCCTTGATTTAACTTAGACTTAGTGAATGGTATTAATACAAAACTAAAATTTTTCATTAAAAATTGTATCATACATACAATGATGAAGGATCCTGACAATGTTTATTTGGAATGCCTCGTAAATTACGTTATAGTGCCATCAAGATTTGGAAAAAATAATCAGCCATTTTCATAGAAACAATAAACGTGTATTTACGACTTTACTGTAATATGGATTATTTATACACGAATTCACATATAACTAACATAGTACTATGACCTGGTTAATTCTTATCCTATCAAGGTTACTATGGCAATCGACCTGAGCAGATTCACGAAATATTGTTATCGTTTGTTAGCAACAGCGAGTGCAGTAGCAGGTACGCACAGACGACTACGAGAATCACAGAACAGCACGTGTGTGTAGGAGGAGAACGAAGCAAAGGATATTGTTTTGTAAGTATTAATAGTGTAATTTTGTTTTTGCTTTTTTGATTTGTTGAAATTACGTGGTTTTTGTGTATAATGCGTTGTATTGTGTTTGTATGCTGTGTATTTGCACTTGAGATAGTGATGCGAGAACCAGCAATTATGTTTACACTTGTTTTTTAATGATGATGAACTTTAACCAACATACTATTTTTAATTTATCGCATGATCTATGTGTCATGAATTAGTTTTCGCGTATCTGTTGTCCGACTTATTTAGCTGGTTACCAGTGAATGGCTGCGTTATATCTGTCATCATTTAGGCTCATGCCAGGTCCTGGACGGAACTTGACTCAGTGATTTGGAACTAATTACGATATAACCGTCGCCAACCGGACTAATTTCTGACGTTTGATATTTGCAGTTATTAATATAGTGAACGATTAATCAAAAGATATGACGTATCCAGTACTTAGTGTGATTGGCAAGTTGAATGTGTGAAGGTTACGCCTTAAGTCTTTAAACTTCTTTGTAATTGGTTAAGTTTTGATACGTAATAAATGGTCTAAGTCCTTGGTCCCGAAGAGAGCTCCACGAGGCGAGAGAGTCTTGGTCAGTCCGGGGCAGAGACCCCGACGAGGCAGTTTGCCTTGAGGACTTCTCGATGTGGCTAAAGACTAGCTATTGAAACGTATTTCGTTGTGTGCGTCTATTGACTTTCCCGGTTCGGTACCACAAGCAGACGTGATATAGAGACATATAAATTCCCCCTGACATATGACTGAACTATTTAAATACAACAACCTATTTCAGTTATATTTTCATAATTATATTGATATCGCTGCAGACAAATTTCCCATTTATACCATCCTGAATGATAACAGTTTATGTATAGTTTAATCATTAAACCAAGGGATTTCAAGACCGTAGAATTCATGCACGTGTTACGAATATGCCTTTTTTGGTAGATGTAATGAGCTCGTTAAATAAGATCGCACTCTTATACAGATGACGTCATTGTCACTTTTCTGGTGTAATGACTATAAATAAGGTTAATTTTTTAACATGTTTATGTTCTTAAAGATATATGTTTTTATCTCTTTTCACCTGACACTGGCTGTTATCACACCCGCCCCCCCCCCTCAGGATCCATAGGGGGCCGCATGCGCGTTCCCATATTCTCGGGAAAGAGGGTACTGTTTGAGATCTGTCTCGGGAACATTTTCCCGAGAAAATCGTAGAAAAGTGGGTGCATTTCAAAACACTTCTCGAGATATACAAAAAGGGGGATTTAAAAGGAGTTCTAGACTGAAAAGTTCCTAAATAGGGGTGAAATTCATCGGAAAAGCCTGTGAAAGGGGGGGTGGTAAATTTTCTTATTTTCCCTAGATAGGGGGGGGGGTAAAAAAAAATGAGGGAACAAGCATAGACCCCCCTTAAATATAGGGAGTGGGGGGCCGGGTTATCACACTACTGATAAATGTTATCTGTATTGTATGAGAAGGTTAGGAAAATAAATATGTGTACGTCATATCCGTTTTGAGTTTCAAACATTTTCTTTATGAATTATGCTATTTTTCGGTTTTAGTTGTTTAACAATTGTGCATGAATTACAGCAGTTAAACGTAGTCGAGACGTAGTTGAACACAATGAGATTGAAATAATAGGAAACAAAAATGACGTTTTACAGACGGCCATCATGTGCTAACGTCGAAAGTAATAGTAAACTCTGTTCATTCAACAGGGGGACAGAGGTTCGCCACTCAGTTGTAAAACAGATGATAGCGGTCCATGGTTTCTCGCTGGCATTTTCAGCTTCGGATTCGGCTGCGGTTCTGGGTATCCCGATATTCTTACAAAAACATCTTCTGTTTATAGTGGGTTTCTCGAAAACGTTATTAATGGCGAGGATCCGGAATCAAGTATGTAAACATGTTCAGAATATCATCAAAAAACGTTTTGATTTTGATGAAACATATGTTTAGTCTCATTAACATTTAAATCTGGTATCCTGACAACAGATAGTTAATACCACATACACATATCGTTAATCCTCCTGTCTGTTATTTATTACACAGTACAACATTCACGTTATAACATCATTTGTGCTTGACTTTTACAATGCGGCTTTATGTTATGTTGTTGTTCAAAAATTAAAGTATGGTCACCAAACTACTTTTCAAGAAAATGGACCAAATTGCGATTTGACCGGGATATGAATACTATGTTAAAGATATTCATAAACATTGTGCTTTGTGACATGTGTTGATGATGGGTACTTATAATTGTCATAAATGTTTCGGAAATTCTGACGAATACTATTAATGTTTTATTCAACGAGTATTTCTATGAAAATAATTCTAAAATACCAATACTATAATTATAAGCTGTTATACCTCCTTCCCAATTGCGAAACTTTTTAAAAACCTGTGTTAGACATCTAATTTATTAAAATATGTGCCAAGTACGCATGGTGGTTAGAAGCTATCCTTATTTCAGGAACTCTGGATTGCTATGATATGGAGGAATTCGCCTGCCAAAGTACACAGTGTATCTCTTCTGAATTTCGATGTAGTTCTACTATACCGTACTGTACTGATGGAGCCGACACCAAGTTCTGTGGTGAGTTGAATGTCTCTACCTTATCATGTTCAAAAGATCCCATGCATATGGTACATTATATAACACATTCGTACATCTATAATTAGAAGCAACCAAACGTAAATAAACGATTCTACGCAACGCACTATTTTGTCTTTAGAAGCACCGACTTAAAATTAATCCAACCTAGGAAGATACGAGTACACATTTGAGAATATGTGCCTTTCGCTTGTACAATCCGTGAATATTCGTATTTTGCGAGTGAATATTGAAGCACGTGTCACACCTATGAATAAAGTTGTGTTTGATTAAATAAAAGACTTGTTTAATCAAAGACAATAGAAAGAGATCTTTCTATTGCCGTTGGTTTAATTGTCAGTTTGGATCTTTATAGTCGAAATGCATGGGCGTGGGAATTATCCTGTTAGATGCGTATTTACTCATTATACACTAATACGATCCACCAGCAATGATTGGATGGCCGTAGAAAACGGTGAAACTTTAGCCAGCCAAAAGACAAACTTTTGTTTTCTCACATTAATGCAACGAGGGTTTATCCGTCAAATATAAGCAACCGAAAAATCAACGAATTTCAGGATTATACTGGTGTTTACCACTTTCTGGCAAAAAACACTTAAGTGATATGATCTTAAATCGATTGGTTAATGTATTGACAAACGTGTGAATTTAAACACAAACACACTTATTCTTATGCATAACAGCTCAAATTATGTATTTTACATTGAGTGAATTCCACCATACTAAGTTTCGGTTCATAGTTCATAAGTACCCTTACACCCCTTACCCTTACCACATTTACAGGTGACTCTGTAGAGCTGTTCAATCCTATCTATGGCAGCTCGTTTGATGATGTACCACGTGACATTTATTCACCAATCACGCTGGACAAATGTGCTGAAACGTGCCTGACATCTGAAGGCTTTATCTGTCACCACTTTGACTACAACCATGACACATCTACATGCAGACTGAGAGCTGAGAACTTTCTCGACGTCACACTCTCTGCGACCACAAGGACCGACTTTCTCAGTTTGAAAAATTGTGGTGGTATGTATATTCTGCTTAGGTATTTATTTATTTACCTTTGGATTTCAGCGACAGATAAAATATGATGGAACGGATTGTTTACACTTTGTTTTAGATCTTGTTATTGTTCTGAATAACGATGTGACGATTTCATCCTAAATGCCTATGTACTACTTCGTTGTCAGGTTGTAACCAAGTGATCGAAGGATGTCGAGATGGCATGGGATTGGGACTGTTTTCTAGTCCCAGATACTTTCTGTCTAACACACGGAGAAAACGGTGTTCTTTTACTTTGAAAACCCCTGCCGGATCTAATATGGAGATTGAATTCAAACACATGTTTGATGACACAGATCAACCACAGTGTAAGTTCAACTGCAAATCACAGCTTTCAATCCGTCACCCGGGAAGCACCTCCAATCTGTTGGAATTCTGTCTGAATGGAACAAACATCCTCCCGACTACATTTGTAGTTCCCGCGAACGAGGTCGAAGTTGAATGGTTTACACAACGCCCTCAGATGTCGGGATTCATTGGGACGTTCAAAGCGATTTAAGAACGGCCATTTGCAATCTGATTTACATGAGACACGTTGTCTATTTATTTAATTATACATTTAAATTTTAACAAACGAGTGTTCAATAAACTATTAACATACATATTAATTTCTCAGCCGATTACGCTCATCGATATTACACTGCGGATTGGAACGCCGTATAAAAGATAGAAGGTGATCATGCTCATAAGCATACACGTGGCGAGAGTATGTCGATATTTTCATTTCCTTATTCACGTTTAAAAAAAAAATACATCGACACTTTAATCGATGTTTTACCGTCCATAATTTAGATTATGTAATTGTAGAATAGACACCATCACCATGCATATCCATATATATATATATATATATATATATATATATATATATATATATATATATATATATATATATATATATCAGACTATCCACAAAGGGGTGTCATGTTTATTGACAAAGTCTACTCATAATGATTACCAAATTTGACCATAAATCACACGACAGTATTCATTGGTGCAATTATGTACAATCATGGAGCTGTAGTAACATGCAACATCATTCTTTTGTGTGTTACAGTACTGTATTTAGACAAAATTTGGCCAAATATTATTCAATTTTTTTTATTTTGAGAACATATCCATGAAACTAAATGTATTGTTCATCTATTTTTAAAACCCAGATTTTAAAATTATTCAGGATAACAAAAAGTATCTCGTCACTGACGACATATAATTTTTTACATTATGTCACCACTCAACAATTTGACATATCAGTCGGAACCCTTGTTACAAGCATTATAACTGACAAAAGTACCCTCTTTTTCTAAAATCTAATCACGAGTTTCTTGAAATGAAAACTGGTAACCCCAAACTTTTGAAATGTACAATTCATCTTTATATATATTTATTCGTATTTATACTTTAAAAATGACCATTGTTCATTCATTACTACTAAGCGTGTGCATACTCAAATGTATACCCAATATAAATGCCGCCACTTGAAAACAACTTAAAAACGATGTCGACCACTGGTTCATAAAACAGATGGTATTGCTATGAATATCATACAGATAAACAGTCATATATTTATAGAAATCCAGATATATAAACTTTATTAATATATTAGTATGTAAATCGCATTGTATGGTGATGTACCGCTGATAAATGAATCATGGAGTTTGGCAAGATTTAACCGTAATTCTCATCTACAAGTTCCCCAATGACTGTCAAATCAAAGGTGTATTAAAGTCTTAATCCAAAATATTAGCAACAATACGGCCTTTCATGGCAGACAATGGTGCACATAATATTAACACCTCTGATAACGGTTTTATACGTAGAAAACGATGAACAGGTCATTCAAATTACGTTTTCCATGGCGCACTAGTGAAATTCCGTGGTGATTTGCGGAGTTGCGCTTTAACATATACGGTAGTCATGACATAACTAGGTGTACTTATATGCATATATGCACTCATGGTATAGCTAATCACTGAAATGGGTTAATTCCTATATATTTAAGATATTTGTCAGTCGAAGTCATTTCCTATTTGTCTTTCAAGGTCGTATTTGTTGTAATTGTTTTTATCATTGTATTCATGCAATCATATTGTGCAACCAGGCGACCAACGCATTTCATGATAGCATACAGTAACATGGTAAGCCAGAAATGAGAAGTGCTTATATATTCACTAAAGATTTGAAGAAACACGTTTACAGTGATGTTTTTTTTTTCAATTTCGCTTTGTTGTGATACTGTTAATGATTGTACATGCGTTGCTTGGGTAACTAATGCATTATTGCGATCTCTCTAGGTGTTCAAAAGTCTGTTGCTGTTATATCGAATAAAATAATATTTCTATGATTTAACTTGATACTAAATTTAAATGTTTATTCATTTCATCATTAGTTTCACCATGATAATCGGACGATATTATGTTATAAGATCAGACGATTCAAGTTGTCCTAAGTATGGAATTCACTACTGTGTTAGGATAAACTTGGTGTCTTATATTATGTAATTAAAAATATCATATCATACTTTAAGGGGACATATGTAAGAACAGTCATTATTCACTCTGCTGAACCAACTGGATTTAGCCCTAATATAGTGAACTTAAAACTCGACATAGATTTTATTAATATTATTACTATTATTCAAACCACGTATATAATGTTTCTATGACATCCACACACACAAAAAAACATCCTGTGATCAGTGGCAATTCTTGAAGACTATCAATACAATATTAGTTACAAATTCGTCTAATGAGTACTAGGTTACAAATGCAACAATACTGTCAATCTTAACAAAACAATCACCGAGGTTCGTTATGCTTAGCGTGTGATGACCAGCAGAAACGTTTTCATCAATATGCACTTTTGATCTTTTCACTGATAACTTATTGTCTAACTTAAAACTTAAAAGACAAGGGGAAGCTTGTGATAAGAATACCGCAAATGAAAAATTTGAACGTCTATAGGACTGAATATCAAACTGGAATTCAATTGAAGCATTTGCTTTCTTGCAAACCCAGAATCCCTTAACATCTCTTCGCTGAATGCCTGACATGTGTACTTCTCCATACTTCCAGTCTTTTATGCTTGACGGTTTTAGATCGTGATCTGCACTGTTGCTGAGTATGGGTGTATAAGAAGATTTCAATGTGGACCAACACTGCGAATGTAAAATTGTTACAGATTCAAACAATGGTGGAGTATGTAATAATTTGGAGGAAACGTTTCTTCGCTCACTCGGCGTGCGTCGATTTGAAATTGTTAGATTTTGTAATGCATCAACGAGAAGGTACCGAACAAAGACGGCCACCATGTCGTGTGCCTTTGTGGATGGATGTTTTCGAGTGTCACTATGAACCCATAAGTCACTAGCATTGTTCATTTTTATAAGAGGACACACGGCTTGTGTCTCACTGATGGATGGAATGTCATAGTATTCACTTAATGGAACACTGCCACTTTGTTCATTTGTCCGACAGTATTGTGCATTAATCATGTCGCCTTTGATAAAATTAATGTAAATTAGCTGTGGGGTATTCGGAAGTGACATCACATATCGCGTCAGATCTTCCTGTCCATTTGGACTTTCACCATTGTCATTGACTGCAAACTCCCAGAAGAAAATATCAACATTGTTTGTATCAATAAATCTATTTAAACATAGAAGACACATCTTGCTATTCAGTGCCCCTACTGCCCCATTTCTGACATTGACTTTGATCCTCAACAGCCTTTGCAATGATTTTGCAATGTCGTATACATAAACGTCTTTCCATTTATCCAACCCACCGCCAGCAGAGATAGATCCTCCAAGTACACCAAGTGTTAATGCTCTGCCTGTGAGTAAGACGTCTTGAAAAATATCAACCATTCTTTCTGTTGACGTTTTGTGAGCCAGTCCCATATAAAGCATTTCATCTGTTATTCCAAGTTCTTTTCTCTTGACTTCCAACATCGAATGTTCCGCGGAAAGAACCAATTCCAGCTGCGTGAGTTGTTCTTCAATTGTTGTGTGCACACCCTTGGCTCCATTATCGTCAAATTCTTTGGGAGGTACCCATACTGTGTGTTTCAATTCAACACTGACTTGCAATTGAATAGCAACATATAACATTGCAGACGTGCATGTTACTAAGAATATAACAATCTTGAAACAGTCAGACATCATGGCTGAAATAAATAATGACGTTGTTTAGCCCACAATCAAGTAATTGATAAAAGATTACTATATTAAAGGGCGGTGGCCGGCGCACCGCGTTCTGTCGGATATGGGACTCATAGCGACGTGCAAACACGTGTAATATACATTGTTTGTTTACTTGAAATTTGAACACGTCCTTTAAAATCTGTTTATTGCATTGTCTTACGGATTCAACCGGAGTACTACAACTAATCTGGCTTTAATCTGGAGCATAAATTTCTACATCCAGTTTCAATATCCCGATTTCATAGTTCAACACCTCATTAGTCAATATTATAAATACATCTTGAAAATCCATATTTTACTTTAATTTTGGACTTAATAATAACATCCAATGCGGAGGTATAGCAAAACATGCATGAAACAATACATTTTCTTATTCATGTGTATGGCAAATAGGCATTTGGCAAGGACTCACCTGGAGGAAAACAAATGTAACTATCGGTGACATTGCCCTGGATCGCTTCAAATGAATGAATGTATTGTTGGACTATATGGTAAGATCAACTATATACATTAGGCATGTGATCTCACGGCAGCTGGTGCAATTGGAGTGAATTTAAACACTTTTAAAATAAAAAAATAATTAATCGTGCAACATGAGTGTATAATCTCATTGGAATTATGTACACACACCTTCGCAGTATGTTGGTATTATATTTTCATATACCATCAGTAAAAAGTCAAACGTTCTTGTGTGCATGGTATTTGATCCGTAAGCACATGTGATTCAAAGCATTTCCCTGTAGAAAGTGTGACTTTCTTGCCTATATGTATTGAACTGGTGTTAATACAAAGAGTAACATACAACGCCACTCACCTGTTGACAACCACAGTGCAACTGTGCACCTTGTTACGATTTAATTAACCAATAGGTTTAGTCGCTCCAGTTGTTTTGGTAGACGTGTGGTATTATATTACCATATTGCGTGTGTTTAATAGCCATCATACTATAGAACTGAATATACAATAAACATATTAGACAGGGACAAAAATCAACAATCACGGCAACATTAAAGGGTGGTAGTCGTCACGCCGCGTCCAGTTCCTGTATGGGACTCATAACGAAGTATACAACGCGTGTAAAATACATTGTTTATTGACATGAAATTCGAACACGCGCTGTGCGACGACCACCGCCCTTTAAAGCGGGAGGGTCGTCACCTGCACACGCGCGGGAATTGAGTCCCAGGCGACGATAACAACACACGCTAAAACGCAAAGGCTCATGGGTAGACGCTTGTTGTAAACAATGACACGCTATGGCCATCTGACGCATGCACATGTGACGACTCCCCCGC